AAAATCATACCATGTAATTCGTCTTTAAAAAGACAAACACATGACATGATGACAGTAAAATTCTCCTGTTAGTGATTCCATAGTAAATTATGAGGGAAAAACCAGGAAAAAAACCTCATAATACTAGCCCGACATTGTAAGTATTTGTTCGTAAATTTAGTTTACCTTCAACAAACATCAAAATTCTGATTTTATATGTTACGTTATTTAAAAAACAAAAATGATGTATCCGCTATATGTTACTGACTTACTAATACTGGTATTTTCTTATTAATAACTTCCTCTTTCAATATTGGTAACCAGATCCTACTACATTCTGCCGAGGAATTTGCGACACAATTGGCCTCATTTAACATAATTAGAGCCGCTTCTTTGATTTTTCTTTTTTTGCCATCCGTTTCTTTTAGGACTATATTTGAATTGTGTTTACATATTTGAGATCTATCAAATTCTCTATTTTTAATATAAGATTGATGTTCACTTATTCTAACATTTAATGGCCTTGATGATTCACCTAAATAAAACTGATCGCATTCACAAGGTATTTTATAAATGCAATTCTTTGTCCTTTCTTGTTCATTGTTAGGTTTGGTTTTGGACAAAATAGATCTCAACGTGTTTGTTGTTTTGAATGTTGTTGAAATGTTGAATTTATTTCCTATCCTTTTAAGTTTTTCTGATAATCCTTTTATGTACGGTATTGTTATTTTCCTCATATTATTCCTTGTGTATGCTGTAGGATCTCGTTCTAAGTTGTTCTGTTCTATTCGATCGATTGTTGAAAATTCCTTATTTATAAACGATAAAGGATAATCATTTTTTAATAAAACAGATGTTAACAAATGTTTCTCCTCCAAGAACGAATTTTCGTTAGAACAAATAATTTTGGCTCTATCGTATAAGGATTTAATTATTCCCTTTTTTACATTAATATTGTGATTTGATCTGAAATTTAAATATCTATTGGTGTGTGTTGGTTTTCTATACACCTGAGTCTCATATCCAGTATCGTTCTTAGAGATTAAAACATCCAGGAAAAGTAGCGTGTTATTATATTCCTTTTCCATGGTAAATGTTATTGTCTCTTCTTTATCGTTTATATCGTTTAGGAATGTGTCCAACAACTCTGATCCATGAGGCCATATTGAGAATACATCATCTACATACCTCCACCATACTATGGGTTTGAAATTTTGTTTAGAAATGATATTTGTTTCAAAATTTTCCATAAATATATCGGCTAAGAATGGAGATAAACTAGAGCCCATTGCTAGACCAAAATTTTGTTTATAGAATTCATTATTTAGTTGAAAATATGTATTATCAGTACATAATGTTAATAACTCCATTATAAAGTACATCCCAGAGGTACTTTTCAGTGCGTCATTAATTATGACGTCATAGAATGAATTAGGTGTGTCGAGAATTATTTCATATAATTATTGAAGAATCTGACAGATGCCAGGATCGTATTTAGCCACAGGGGTAATCCCGTTTATTAATAAAAATTAAAAGTAAACAATATTGTTTATTCAATTTATAAATATGGAAAAATTTGAAATTGACGACAAAATAATTCATTTATTGAATTTTTGTATCTTCTGCTCTAGGGGCTGTCTGCGCGTCGAAAGTTGGCAATCATCACAGCAATTTTTAATTTTGAGACAGCGGCTCTGAATAAGTCGTTATTACATGAGTTACGTCTTCTTCCTATGAATCTTTTTCTCCTAATTTTTCCTTGCATAATGACCTGGAGTGTTAGATATTTATCTCCTCTCATCACATGACCCATATCTCACTTTTCTCCTCTTAATTGTTAGTACTCCTCTTTCCTTATGCGTACGTCACATTACCTCAACGTTGGTTATTCCATCTACCCATGAGATCTCTAGTACTCTTCGGTATATCCACATCTCGAATGCCTTCAGTCTCCTCACGTGAATTTTCTTCAGTGTCCACGCTTTCTTTCCGTAATATAATACGGATAGCACGTAGCACCTCAGCAGTCGTATTTTTAACTTAAGGTTTAAGTTTCTACAGCAGTGAAGCCTTTGTATTCTTGTAAATGCGCTTCTGGCCTGTTTTATTCTGATTCGTATTTTTTGAGAGCTGTCATTGTTTTCATTAATAGTTGTATCTAGGAACTTGAATTCTCTTACTATTTCAATAGGCTGATTCTGTACATATATCTCACGAATGTCCTGAGTTGTCTTTGTTATTATCATATATTTCTTGCTCTGTTGAGTGGTCCATATTCTTCTTCGCTTACTGTGGTCACTTAATTAAGAAGTATCTGTAGGTCTTCATGTGATTCAGCTAAAAGAACTGTATCATCAGAGTATCTCAGGTTATTTATGATCATGTCATTAATTCTAATGTCTACGTTTCGTTAATCCATTGCCTTAATTAATATGTCTTCCGAGTATACATATTAAATAATACTGGTTTATGTATACTTCAAAAACACAAAAGTAGTAACACAAAAAAGACTGTTTTCAAATATTTTAATAATTAGACTTTTAGCAGAAAAAATTATAGAAAAATACTGCCAGTGGGGATGTTTCCATAAAGATATTTCCTTAAACAACTCCATGGTCAAATATTTTGGTCATAACTTAGCTAAACAGTTAATTAGAGAGAAGCCAGTCAAATGTGAATATAAGAATTGGATGATAACTGGTTCCACTGAATATGATTATGGTTTTCACGTTTTTTGCCGAAAAAAAAAAACAAATGGTACTATTAAAATAGACCACTTAAAGCTAAAATAGTAATTGATATTTTGAAACAGTTGCCTGAACCATCAACAAATGAAATTTTTTCGATAAACATTTCATGACATATCAACTAATGATATATCTGAAACAAAAAAATGTAAAGGAACTGTAATGGAGAAAGCTAATGAAGAGTAAGCCAATGAAGAAAAATGCATATGATTATAGATTTGACAAAACTAATGAAATTTTGTGTGTGAAATGCTATGGCAATAGTGTTCTCTGTTATCCAATTATGATACCATTGAACCACTAGGTCAAGTAAATACAAAGGTGAAAAACTATGTGTATTGAATGGTGTTTTGAAAAATACCATACAAATACCTAATGTCCCCATTACGCTGAAATAAAGAGTAAATAAAACAATTTTATTTTCAGGGTAATTTTCAACTTAATTCACGAACAGCAGAAATTGGTAATAATGTTTGTCCAGCTTCCTTTTCCTATTAAAAATATTTAAGCAAATTTAATTTAATATTAGAACTTGTTCTTTTTCGCACATCTTGTCATCTTGTACAAATACAAATAAAACCACAATCACAATACTATGTAAAACAAAATACAAAATAAAATTATACAAAACAAATACCAAAGAATATAAATATATTATATAGCGTCTATATTCTTTGCTAATACTGACCTGAACGACAGCCGTCAGTTGATGTTGGAACCCTTCGAAAGAATGGCCAGCATGGACGAAATTTTATGTCAACTGTCAGTAATAGGCGTATTTGATTGGCTAGAGAAAGCGCGCATCTAAATATCAACGAATCAAACGTAGGTTAGGAAAGAATCTCTTATGTATGTAAGCTTATTCTAACGCTGCAATATCCTTCTGTTTAATCACCGAACTACTGTTTTCTCTGTCACATCCAACTTAATGCAGTAGAAAGAAATCGAAAAACTGTGACGCACTGAAAAGAACCTCTGGGATGTTCTATAGCCGATATGTTTAGTCTTGTTCTAGTTGCCAATGAATCATCATTCTCTAATTTTGTCTTGCCTATACTTAAAGTCTTATTTAATGGCACATTCGTAAATAAACTATTTATGTCAAAACTTACCAAAGTATTATTTGAATTAAATTCAATATTTGATAATTTATTTAAAAAATGTTGTGTATTTTTTATGAATGTGTCATTTTTATTTGTATAAGGTTTTAAAATATTTAATAAAAATTTTGATAGTTCACTACAAGGAGAATTCATGGTACTACAAATGGGTCTAAGTGGTATATTCGTTTTATGAATTTTCGGTACTCCATAAAAATGAGGAGTCTTACTGTAATGAGGTGTAATTAATCCTCTCTGATAACTTGGTTTTTCCCTCATAATTTACTATGTAATCACTAACAGGAGAATTTTACTGTCATCATGTCATGTGTTTGTCTTTTTAAAGACGAATTACATGGTATGATTTTTTCTGACGGATATTCTCAAGTTAAAGTTGATTTCATGTAATCGAATGAACTATCTTATAAGTAAAGTCGTCCCAGGAGCGCAACTCAACAATATTGGCAATATAATTTTAAAGTCGTCTACTTTAAAATGCATAATGTATGTCTGAATTGTCAATATAAATGAGTCAGATAAAATTAAATTATAAGAAGAATTTTTTTACTATGTAACAAAAAACAAAATTTGTTTAATTTACTGTTTGTATTTTGAGAACGATTTCCGAATTGGAAATTGAAACGTCAATAAACGTATTTTTATCTTTAATTGTGGCTTATTCCCAGTTATAAATAGTAAGCAATTTAAATTGGTATGTAATTTGACAGTGGTTGTTACCTGTAGGTATAAATTGTATAATAATTTTGTATACCTATAGTCTAGCCTGCATTCTTTAAGCACCTGTAGTATTTAGCTTAGGTCAACTGTAACAAAGGTGAAAATAGACAAATATTAGCACTAGAGGTTTATTGTCTTCACTACTTTCTCTATTAGGGTTTTTATGCTTTGTAGATTGTCATTAGTTCCGTAACTTTTTCGGAATACTGCCAGTTCTCTTTGTTGATAAGTCTTTTCATTATTTTAACTATTATTCGTGTAAACAACTTAAATGTATGGCTGAGAAGGTTTGTCTCCTGCTTTATGTAATAAAGTCATAGTAGCGTTGTTACAGTCTGTCGGAATATTGGCGTTGTGAAGGCAGATATCGAAAAGTAGTTTTAACTTTTAAAGTACTTCTCTTAATATTCTTATCATTAAAAATAAAACTACTTTGGAATTTTTGCAATTTAATAAACAAAGTTTTGCATTGTATTAAAAAAATTATTTACAATATAAATCATAACAAAGTTTCATTACGTGTTAATTGAACTCATTGGTTAATTAGCATAATACCCAACATTAACAAAACAATATTTAACTTATATTTACTATTGAACATCTGGTGATTTTACATTATAAGATCCAATGTTGTCAATTTTTACTTTCTTTTGGAACCTTGGTGACAGGTCTCTCCAAATTTCTTCTCTGAGATTTTCTAAAAAAAAATTAAATACATGTCAATTAAATCCATGTCCATGACATATAAATCATCAATAAGCACTAATTTTATAATTAACATTTCTTTCTGAACAATTAGTTTTATGAATACTTACCATTACATCTGTATGCCAAATCCGACCATATAATCATTTGTTGTGAGAAACAAAGAACTCCCAATCTTCCTCCCTTATGTGTTGTATCGAAAAGATTTCCAGAATCAGCTACCATACTCTCTCCGTCAAATATCTTCAACCTAATGAGTCCAATAGCTGGTCTGTGGATTAAGAACCATCTGTACGAAGTCTTCTCTTTCCATCCTACGTTTTTGGGATCTTTCCAAAGGAGTCTTACTTGATTAGGGGTATCACCTGTGTGCCACAGAGAATTTCTAAGTACTTCTCCAGGTCCAGTTTCGGAGTCGATTACTTTAATTTGGATTCCTGGTTCAGCGAACGCTCTGAACGGTTCCGCTTCCCAATAGACCTGGGCGTGCTTCTTCCACATAACGGCATAGAACTTTCTGTTGCTTTGATAGCTAAAATTTTAATAGTGCAATAATAATAAAAATATATAATTGAAAAAATGCCTTTATTTATGTATGTATAGTTATATATGTATATAAAGACTTCCCACATAAAGCGTCAAGAAATTGTTGGTGTTTACAAAGAAATCAGATTAGAAGTTTAGGGAGTAAAAAATTCTAGGCTAGTCTTTCTCAACAAAGATTTGATTAACTTAAATTAATTATTATCCCCAAAAAATGAATCGACCTCTATACAGGGTGTGTCAAACCTCTGGCTTTCTTTGAAAAATATTTTTCAGATAAAACTGAGTATATTAAAGAAAACTATGTTTTAAATTTATTTTTGATTATAGAGGGTCAGTCACAATTAACTAAGTTTTGTTTTGTAATTGGAACACCCTATATATTAAACCATCTTTGATTTAATTTGTTAAAAGTACGAAGTGTTTGTTTAACATTTTCTAGTGTAGTGTTATTTTTAAATAATTTTATACCTTTGACATCCAGCAATACAATATACAGTGTGATCACTGTTTTCAGATACAAGATTTTCTCATCTGTTTTAATAAAATGCCCTGTGTATAATGAATAAGTATTGTATGTTGTAGAAAATATTACAGCCTTTCTTTTGGTATCAGATTTTATATATAGGTAATGGATTTTGGGAACAGCTATGACCTTGAAAATGCCACAAAGAATATAACTAAATATCTCTTTTCTTACTCATACTCTTTAAAGTCTTACAATATTTTAGAATCGAAGATATGTAATTATATTATTAATGTATTGGATTTTGACAAGAGCTATGCATTATGCCTATTTAGTACACAAGTTTATGTGAAATGTTCAAGGTCATAGCTGTTCCCAAAATCCATTACCTATACCTAGCATGTTTAATTTTGTACGAGGATAGATTGATATTAAACTAGCATTTGATAGATGGCGCTACTTGATACCTAATTGGATTCGGTGTTGACATATGCCATTCATGACATGACGTCTGTCAAAATTTTAAGTTTTAAAAACAATTAGTTTGGTTTTTACCTGGTCTGGTATAAAGAGCTCTAGCAAAAGTACTATTCGAATGGAATAAAAAACTTGGAACATCGTCTTACTAAGTGTATCGAGCTAAAAGAGGACTATGTTGAGAAATAAATCGATTTAATTCCAAAAAACTTGTTTTTTGGAATGAAATATAGGTCTGAGCACCACTGAGCCTTCAGTACTCTTTTATTAACAGTATACGATTATGTGTTGAACATTTTGAAAAACTTTTTGAACATTTTTTAACATAGTTAAGAATGCATTTATGAATATAGCTTATCGATTAGGTGTATATTATGTTTCAACATAATATTTTATTAAATTCAACTAGTTACTTAATTAAAGTTATTAAATTCAACTAATTTTTAATAACATAATTTTTTTAAATTTTTGAGATTTTGATTTATGTTTATAAAATTAAATTAAAATTTTTATATTTTTGTATCTTATATTTCAGCAGGAACACCAAATTTATTAATAAAAAATCTGCAAAAACATAAAATCGATATATACTTAAATTCTGATATCAAAACAAAATTCATATTTTCTTCAGTACAGAGTCAGTGGACGCAGGTAATGGCAAGTGTCATCATATGAGATAATTTGATAATTTAAGGTAAGTTTTTTAATGTTTACTAGACTTGATATTTTATTACAAAATACATTATGCAAAAACCCGTTGCTCTTAAATGTGTGCTCGTACACATCTCTTACCTTCATTTCACGCGTTTATCGTTAATTTAACTAAACTTTTGTGAGGATATGTTTGTTATGTTATATTATAAAGGCTTCGCTCAAATGGAACATAGCTACAGCAAATGAGGTTACCACCGCTGTTCAGATTGATATGAGTTTGAGAGCTGAAAATTTAAATATTCCAAAACTGTTTCTAGTGAAGAAGATTAGAAAATTTTAGTAAAACATATTTTCGATATGCAAAACAGATTTTACGGACTTACTCCACTTGATGTCCGTAGAATTGCTTTTAACTTAGCTGAAAGGTTTAAAATATTACTGTTTTGAAGGGAATAGAATACAATTTTGGCTGGCCGGATAGTTAAAACGTCACTCTCGGCTTTTATTACAAAAGCCTGAAACACAACAGAGCGATTGGTTTTAATAGAAACGAAGTTAACCATTTCTATGATCTTTTAAGTGAAATGATGGACACGTTCATATTTACAGTCGATAATATATATAATTTTGACGAATTGGGAATCAGTACAGTACAGAAACCTAGTAATATACTAGCTAAGAAAGGTCAGAAACAAGTCGGTCGATTTGTAAGTACTGAAACAGGTTACAATATAAAACTGGGATGCACAATATCAGATTTTTCTATTTCCTTGTGAAAGAATGCCACCGGCTTCTAATGAAAGGAGCACTTACTGGTGCTGTAGGCTACACAATAGAGTCTGGTTGGATGGACAAAGACCATTTTCTCATACATCTCGATCATTATTTTAAATTAGCAAAACCTATTTAGGAATATCTAGTTCTGCTAATCTTGGATGGCCATATTAGTTACAGATAGCTTAAATCTCTTTTAAAAGCTAGAGAAAATACTATAACTCTTTTAACACTACCCCCACACTGCAGTTATCGAATGCAGCCGTTGGATCTTTGCGTGTTTGGTCCATTAAAAAAGCAATATTCACGTGAATGTGAATATTATCTAACGTTTCATCCTGGAGAAAAAATATCTATATACGAAACGGTAGAATTATGCTGTAAAGCTTTTCAAAAAGTAGCAACTGTTGGGTAGGGCACCAAAAGATTTACAAAAAGTGGCATATTTTAACAGAAGTATACTAGAGATACATTTGACGGGACTAACTTTCTGCCTTCAACAATATTTGATATTTCTTCCCAAACTTGTATCTCGGAGAATTTGCCCACGTCAGCCTTGCACCAATCTGGAATAATTCATCCTCCTAGACCTGTCATCCAAATCAGCGATTGTCTGCAACTTCAACCGACAGGTCTATTCATTATACTCCTCAACCTGGTACCATTATGCAAGCTGATGCAGATATAAATTCTAGTTCTTTCACAAACATACTTCAACTGATATATTCGAAACCCAGCCAATATAAGGAAAAGCACGAAACCAATACAAAAAAGAGATATCGAAAATTTTGACAGGCACTCCAAATAAAGACGATCTTGAGAAACAAAAAGAAATTAGAAAAATTAGAAGCAAGTTAACAAAACCAAAAACTACGTAAAGAATTGCAGGAACAAGTTCAAATTTTGAAGCTTATGCCAAAGAAAAAGCAGTCAGTGTAGGATATTAGTGACAGTAATGAAGATAATGATTCGAAATGTAGCTATTGCAATAAACCTTATAGTCGGAGCAAGAAGAAAGAGGGCTGGATAAAGTGTCAGCAATGCAATGAATGGGCACATAATGCATGTGGAAAATTGCAAGTACTAACTGATGGTCTCATTTGGGGTATACGGGACCGGATGCCATTTTCACTGTAGATTGTATTTTTTTTAATCATGTTACTTTAATTGCATTTTTTGTTAAGCAATATAATAAAAAATGTTATTCAAAACTATGATAGTTATTCTAAACTATGATATATGATATATGATAGTTTAGGGTGGTGTTTTCATTACTTGTTGGCAGATGCAAGTAAAAACGTGTTAGGTGGTCCTTTTTGCCCAGGCCACCCTACTATTTGCTTTTCAGGTTCGCTTTATAGCCTACTAAAAACCCACATAATCAACATATAGTAACTTCATGAGGAGAAAAAATCAGATATAATTCCATTTTGAGAATTATAACGCTTAAAACTCACCTGAAAATAAAACCAACATAATCATCATCTTCGTCGGAGTCCACAAAGAATGTTCCTTCAAAATCTACTCCAGTAAATTTGTCATGACCAACAGCCAAACCAGGATCACTGTTAACAGTTTGGACAATTTCTGCACCGTGGTTGTAAATTTCCCAAATGGGATCGATTTGAGTTTCGCCGTATGGATCAAGAACTATGGTTTGGTATTTACTGAAGTCGGTTTGGTAAATTAATGAGTTGGTGGGACATACATCAAGTTCGTTAATTACGTGATCATCATCAGTGTCGTTATCACATTTGTCCCCAAACCCGTTTCCTAAAAAGATAATTGAAATCTTATACATCATACAATAAAAGATAAAACATGCAATATCGATATTTAAGATACTGGTAATATCTTGTTGTTTCAGGCTGCTAAAAATAATAAAACGAAAACTAAAATAATATACCTAAAAGTATACAATATGCAGACACTTAAAAGTTAATAATCACAACAAAAAATGAGAAAAATAAACCGAAATGAATAAAATTATTATAACAAAAAGAATAATAAAGAAGAAGGATCACGATATATAGTCCTAGAGGAAGAAAAATACTTCATTTATTTTAGTACAAAAATTTAAGCTTAGCACAAAAGATCCACAAAAACATAACTGAAGTAAAAATGAGACTTAAAACAAAAAATACTCAAAAATAAATAATTGATGGATACGACCGTTACTTGATAGAAATTCATTTTATGTAACAATAAAACACTGAAAATTTTGTTTTCAAACTTCCACAAAATTTATTTTAACCTCTTATCACTACAGCTGTTTCTACTGATATCCTTTCTCAAGTAATCTATTTTTGGCATGCGTTTACACTTTATAGTCTCTAATGAAATAGGTTGAGGAGGGGAGAACTGTTTGTCTCAAGTTGGTCATTCAGAATTATATCTGTGAATTTAATTTGTTGATTTCCATAGATTCTAACAAGGATATCTTAAGGCCTTTATTTTGAATGTGAAGAATTTTAAATTCGTCATAAAAATAATGATTGTGATCTAGAAGGTGAAGTGCGTATGTAGAATCTGTTTTTCTAGTATTGAAAGCCCTTTTATGTTCTGCTATTCGTTTATTAAAGTTTCTACCAGTTTGACCGATGTAAGTTTTTGGGCAGTCGCCACATTTAAGTTTGTACACACCACTGTGTAAGTGTTTTTTATTTTGGCTCTTGTTGTTTTTGATATATTTGCCTAGGTTGTTATTTGTTCAGAAAGCTGGTGCTATTCCTTTCTTTTTTATGTATTTGGCTATTTTTGTTGATATTTTGCCTGTATATGTAATCGAGCAGAAGGTACTGGGTTTTTCTCTGGTGGTGGAAATACTAATTTCAGGGCTTTCTTGTGTAGTTTTTCATTTACCATTTTATTAATTGTTTGTTCGTTGTATCCGTTGTTTACTGCTATTTGCGTAATATATATATATATATATATATATATATATATATATATATATATATATATATATATATATATATATATATATATATATTAAATAAAATAGGGGATATTATGTATCTCTGTCGAACTCCAGATTTTAATTGGAAAGTTTTTCGAAACCACATTATTAACTCTTACATTAGCAGTATTCTTCAGTCGTCCAATGTTTTTTCCTAACTATTTTTTCTTTGGAATTAGTATTGTTGATGGTTTCAGTGATCCATTTCTTTGTGTATTCTCCTAAACTATTCACCGCTTTATTACAGAGTGCTATGAATAACAATAATTGGAAATATTATGTCAACATAAATGGGGAGTTACTGAACAGCTTGAGGTAGGTTTGCAAACGACATACTATTGATTGCAGGCTGAATAGATTACGCCTGCCAACTTTTTCAAGACTTTTAGAGGTCTTGTATACGAGTTGTAATTGATCAGCTTTAAAATTCAATTTTCCAAAACACAATACATGACAAACCTTGTACTAGCCAAACACATTTTAACTAATGGAATGCAAATTAAACAAATGTATACCTATAAATTATGAAAAAGAAAAGTCGATATCAAAAGAAGAAAACTTGAGTATTTAGGAAATGTGGTGATAGGGCAAAGATACTCATTGCTGCAAATTATTATGCAAGGCAAAATTCGAGTAAAGGGAAATGTGGAAAGATAAAGAATATTGTTGCTTAAAAACTTGAGGGAATGGTTTAAATGCAGCCTTCTTCTTCTCATGGCGCCGTCTCCTTTCGAAGGTTGGTGATCCAAATGGCAATTATGGTTTTGGAAACTCCTTCGCGAAAGATTTCTACGGATGAGCGGTCGTTCTCCTTCATAAGGAGATGGTTTGACCATAGTTTGAATGCTTTGAATGCAGTAGTGCAGGACTATTTAGAGCGGCGGTCAACAGGGTCCACATAGCCATGATGATTTCCAACCTTTAATAGAACACGGAACTTAAAGAAGAAGATTAGGCAGAAATCAAATTAGGCAGAGACAATCAAATAATAGAATTAAGTAGAAGAATAAGACTAACATGGGCGGCTTACGGAAAACTGAGAGAAGTCTTTAGATCAGATTTTCCTATGTGCTTGAAAAGGAAGGTCTTTGATCAATATATACTCCCATTTCTAATTTATCGAGCAGAAACATTGATACTTACCAGAAAAGTTATAAATAAGATACAAGTGACACAGAGAGCAATGGCGACGTTAATGTTAAATATATCCATCAGAGACAGAGTTTCAAATCAAATGGTCAAGAGAAAAATTGGTGTTTACGGACACAATTTAAATGGATACCTATACATACACGATGCTTATCGTATAATCGAGGATGTAACAAGGTGGTCGGACGGCATCAAGCGCATCCAGCACAACTGGATTCAAGGTGCTCGAGATCGGATCCAATGGAATTATTTATGGGATGACTAGTTTCACGAGTGAAAATGGAAATTTCAAACTGGCTGATGATGATAATGATTATAGAGGTTAACTAAATAATTCTACCAATAATACATATCTACTAAGAGAAAAAGGGATATTTTCGATGACGAACATTCGTAGATATTGACGAATGAGAAATAAATAGTAGGGCGGCTAACAAAATTTAAAAATGCTATATAGTTATGTTAAATAATGTAAGAATATACTTTATTAATGGAAAACTGATACCAAAATGCTTTACCATTTGAGTCCAATTGATCGGGATTGTAGACAAATATACAGTTGTCACGATTATTTAAAATACCATCATCATCGATATCCGTATCGCAAGCGTCTCCTCGTCCATCTCTATCGGTGTCAAGTTGATTTGGATTTGGTATAAGTCTGCAATTGTCATGATTGTCTGGAACACCATCCCTACAAACAATATTTTTTTTATTTATAAAGCTATAAAGGTCATGTAGATCTATGAATAATAATATTATACGTTACTTACTTATCAGTATCTATTGGAGAATCACATACATCACCAACATTATTTTCATCTTTATCTTCTTGACCGGGATTGTATGCACTAGGGCAGTTATCACAAACATCTCCTATGCCGTCACCATCCCTGTCAGCCTGATCTGTATTTGGTATTGTCTTGCAGTTGTCTCGGTCATTTATAACAGTATCATTGTCTATGTCCTCATCACAAGCGTCACCTTTACCATCTCCATCGACATCACTTTGGTCCGGATTCTTAACATAGGGGCAATTATCACAAAGGTCACCTACTTTATCTCCTCCATCGTAATCAGAGTCGGCTTGGTCGGGATTGGCTATCAGAGGGCAGTTATCCTAAAATAGGTCCAATTGTGAAGACAAGTATGTTGGTAAAGGAAGCAAGATAATTACGCATTTATTACACTAACGTATAATATGTAATTCACGTGTAAATATACATAAAATAAATTGTACGATTATATAAGGTAAAATTCTAAGCGATACAAGCAGATTTATGAGAAACAGATAAGTGAAACAAAAAATTACTTGGCCATTATTCTTATAAGAGATATCCCAAAAAACGCGAGTTTCTTTTATTATTTATATATTTTATTGATACGTTTGAAGCCAGAAATGTTTAAAAATCTTAAAACTTGCCAACAAAGCAATTTACATAAAATCTTGTTTTAATTCTTTTTTTTTCTTTTTTCTTATCGGCAAAAACTAATGTTCATCCTTCTGGTTATTCCTGATTTTAAAAACATAATATTTGGCTTCTCTGCAAATCGAAAGACCATGTCGACAAAAGAATATAAACCCAGTAAAAAAGAAATAGAAAGTCCCCGAAAAGCAGGTGTGACAGCTAGGACATCAAAATCATAAGAGCTGGGATGATAAAATAAACAGGATCATAACGTATAACAAGAACAAGAAGACAAAAAGTCTTAGTTGACTTGCTGCATTCGTAAACTTTGTAACACACTGCACTACAAAGATATCATCAGCGAATGCGAGAATTTGTGTATATTAAAGTTAGTGCAATCCAATCTAATATTTATCGCTATGGGCACGCTAATTAATATCAAAGAACATATAACAGTTTTCTCCTTGGATTCTAAGGCATCACCTTGTGCTTTGCATTGTTAGTTTTTACTACACTTTTTACTTGCTAGACTTTTCACCTTTAAAACGCATTATAAGTTTTGTTTTTAGGTTACTCTGATCAAAAGATATCAAATGTTTATCGTCAAGTTGATACAGATTTTATTTAAAAAAGTTGATTTCGCGCGCGTAACTGACATTTAAAATTGCCGGTCGCTTCAAGCGTTGTTTTTGGGAGAACGGTTCATCCTGCGCAAAAACATTCTGTACATTTTTTTACTACGGCGCACACGTTCTTTGTAAATCGATCTTTTCTACTTTCCCCTTCGAGGGGGTTTTAGAGGGAAATTCGGAAGTAGGAGTGACAAACTTTATTGCATATTCCTTCGGGCCAAGGTCTTTAAATGTTTTAACTTTTTTAAAGTCATACTGACTAATTTTGAGTGCAGGTAATTTGAATTTATTCTTCCATGTATATATTTTGTGTTCTGTTCATTTACCTCTAAATCTTATTTTCAGTTCAGTCATTTTTTTTTTAATTTCAATGTTGCTTAAATTTAACATAACATCCCAAACTATTTTCTAAAACTTGTATGTAAAATACTTTATCTAGAATATGTCTCCGTTAATATTTAAGATGTTTCTTAGGTCTTCTTAACACATGTGTTACTTTTGTGTAACACAATGTAACGCTTAACTTAACGCTTAACACATGTAACGCTTGCAGAGGTGCTTAGAAAACTGTACATGAAGTTTCAGTTTGGCTATAATCACGTAGATGGCGGTGTAAGGCATTCAAAACCAACATAAAAAGCATTTTGTGTTGTTTTTTTTTTACTTAGTGACTAACTGCAGTCTGAATCAAGTAGAATTTAGCAACTATCATGGAGCAGAACATTCTTTTCGAGTAAGTGTTACAAAAATCTTATTTTTAAAGTTAAATGCATGATATTTTTACAAGAACACTGTTAAATAACGCTTTTTGTTGTTGTCTGTGAAAATTTATAAAATAATTTGTGTATGTTTGATAAAAACAGCTTTGAATTACATATATGTAACGCTAGGTTCTCTGGAGTACGTGTTCTTCTCAACCTTGAAATGAGTATTAATACTCTTTATTTCGTTCTAGACGAAGTTTAACTCTACAAGAATCAATAGAGTTAGCATATATAGATGATGCAGACGAGATCTTTATTGATCCTCCGGATGCCAGTGAATTAGCGGATGACGATTCTGGAAATGGGGATGAGAGAAAGCACTTTAGACAATCTAATTGGCCGTCAACTTCTGTCCAAAGTGGAAATTAGATTTAAAAAATATAGAGATGGTGATGATAACGAAGATCTTTGAGATGATGTATCCAAACAAAATACAGAAGAAGAAACTATAGATAATGAGAATTGTGAAAAGCAGGTAGATAGGGACGATATCCCAAAAAAAATTAAGCTTAACAGTAAAATTAATTGGAACGAGAATTATGATTTAGTTCCGTCAAATACACGACCTTTTCCTGTGCACAGTAACAAAAAAGATATTGAAGATCCTGTTACTCTGTTAGAAAAAATGTTACATCATAATATTATCCAGATGTTAGTAACAGAAACAAGAAGGTATGCCATTTTTAAAAACTGTCCAGATTCTCAAATTACAGTGGAAGAAATTCGATGTTTCATTGCCATTCTAATCTTGAGTGGACACGACTGCAAACCTAGCAGGCGTCATTTTTGGGACAGTCAGCCTGACATGCAAAATAAAGCAGTTGATAATGAAATATACACTCTTCGGATAACTCAAAAGTAGATGCTAATGACAAACTCTTTAAACTCCGACTATTCATTTTATTTGACTTTGATACAGTAAAATCCAATATTATTACCGAACATAAAATACAGGAAATTAAATATTTTTACTTTTTAAACGATTTAAATTAAATATTAACGCCCCACTGTTTGAGGCCCACTGATCATATCTTAATTACATATCGGCCTTCATAGGCTAAAAGGAGTTTATCTGCTTTTTCAATGTGCCTCCAGTAAGTTGTCATTCCATTGTTTTCGTGATCTTTACACTGATCCTCTTCATATTGGAGGACCGTCTCTCGCCGTGCTTACTACTCTATTTGGTGTCATTCGGCTTATGTAGCCATTCCATTATACCTGTTTTTACGTAGTTATTAATGCCGCCCACCTTGTCTTGTCATCGTTTTTTCAAAGGGTTGTCATCTCTGCTATTTCTAACATTTTTTTGTCCTTTTTGTATCAGGTCGTGTTTCTGTCGCGCATTTATTGGTCTGATGACTGTTTTGTAAATTCTTCGTTTCATTTCTTTTCCGATACTTTTATTTCTCCATATTGTTTCATTCAGGCAACCTGCGGCTCTGTTTGCTTTATTCACTTGATCCTCCACTTCCGTTTCGAGCTTTCCATAACTAGATAGATGAGGTACATATGTGTTTTTAAAATTAATTGAAAGTCACATTTACCAGTGTTGTGAAAAAATTGATTACTCTTATAATAAAACAATCTCATTTAAATTCATTTCAGTCAGAAACAGACTCTGAATGAATATTGCATTGTGGATTAGGCCTATTGGAGACACCACGTACAAATAAAACGCACCGAAAACTTTACCCCATGGGTGGTGTGGAAACAAGTTAATTGGAGAGGTTATAACTCCACCTCTTAATATTATTAAAAATTTGGTTCAGTTGTGATTAGTTTATTGTATATTAGCTTATTTATATCATCATAAATTGAATAGTTTATAGAAACACTACAGATTTTATTGCATAAATTCATGAAACAAAATAAAATACCTGAAAGTTAAAACCTATTTATTTTAAGATTTTATTTCAGTAAATTGTTACGCAACAAATCAATTACTTAAAAGTAACACGCATTCTGTAGTTGACACTACAGTTGGCTAACTTTAGGTATTCAATGAGAGCCCTTAGAACATTCTCAAGCGATTAAAATCGGTTTTTAAGTCTTGTAAACCACATAATATAAACTATACCTAGTACACTAGTTTGACCAAAATAGCTTTTCCAATTCAAAACAATTTTATTTAGAACAGTATTATTTAAGATTTACAAATTCTAAAATCTTAATACCTCAGTACAGAGATTTTACGATTAAAAATCATAATATAAATACGTATAAATACAAACGTTTTTACTAACAATTGTTATATTTGTTATTTGGCAATAAATTATCTAAACATTTTATTTAAAAAACGTAGTCTAACTGTTTTTATTTTATTCAATAAATTCTCAAATAAATTCAAATTTTAATACAAGACTTTAAGCACGCTTTCATGAAACGCCATTGATAAGGAGTGAATAATTACGAATTCGGATTATTTGTGGTGACCAAATATTATTTGCTAAAAGGTATCGTGAATGCATTTGTTGTTACAGCTAGCTCACTGTAAAAGACCGCATATCATCGAGTAAAATGTACGGAGATCAATAAAAATGTTGTGAACTGATATTGTGTTGATTTTCTTATTAGTAAACGGCGTATTTGATTTAGACCTCGTACAATTCGGCTGCCATATTAAATGTATTAGTCACCTTTTTCAATATCTTGTGGGACTATATACGTTCATTAATAATAAAGACATTGTGTAATGCCCTTTTGGTAGTCGCGTTTTTTGTTTTTCTATCTTATAAATATATCAATATATTCATATACAAATATATACCTATACATATACAAATATAATCAATATATTCTTGATACTCTTCCCTTTCCTTTAACGTATCACACGCTCCAATCAGACCTCTTAGCAATGCCGAAATCTGTGTTTTTTTTTGCCTCAACATATCATCCACCATAAAACGCTTAGGAACTGAGCCGAATGAACCTTAGCATTTTCTTATGGAATTTTACATGGGAAATGCAGCAGAAACGGTATAGCAGCGTTTTTACAGGTATAGCTTTTACTTAATTTTATTTAATTTCTGTTTATCTTGATTTAATTTTATTTAATTCTATTCAACTTTATTTAATTTTGTTTAATTTTATTTAATCTTATTTAGTTTTAAATTTATTTTACTTTGGTAAAGCGTTGACGTTTGTTAAACGTCATTTTATTTTTATAGTAAGTATATTTTTATCTTACTCAATGACATATAATTAATATATATTATAATATGTCGTTGATATTACCTTACAAATACAGTAACCTATATTTTTAGCAATTTTTCGAAAAAATTAATTACTGTGAAGTAGTAAAATTTCTTATTAACAATATTTGAATCATCAATTTGTAGAATGAATTAGCAATAAATCAACCGTATTGTCTCAAGAACAAAATATGTATGAAATGTCAAATGTTGGTAGTTTAAATTTCTTTCCTAGGTGGCGTCGTTACCCTACTAGACAAATGGTGTGACTTGTCATTATATTAATATTACACACAAAATTAAAAAAAACTTCCCGTAATTAATCAAGGTGCTATGATATCTAGTGTAAAAGGCTTTAAGTATTTCTCAAGCATACAAAACCTTTGCCAAAATTGGTTATATTGAAAACTACATTTTCCATTTGTTTTTGACGTTTCAACTTTCCCTCCAGAAATCATTTTTAATAATTAAAATAAAATGAAAATCAAAATACAGGTATTTATTAAATTAATATAAAATGTTTATACTTACGCCATTTATAACACCATCGTCATCGGGATCCTTATCACAGGCATCACCTATTCCATCACCATCAGTATCCTCTTGTCCAGAGTTTGGAGTAATTATACAGTTATCCTAAAATTTAATACAGCATTTTAGTTAATAAATTCGTTCTAACCGCTTAAAAGTGCAGCTCGTGTACAGTACGACAAGCGATAAAGGCCTGGTCATCTCTGCTTAAATAGAAAAGAAAATTTCGTCAGAGAGATAAAAACAGTGCGGAGTTGAGGTATATTTTAATTTTTTTAAATGACATTACTTTGGTTTTTGTGATGTTTATTTTCATACCTAATTGGTGGCAGACCGAGATTGGCGTGATCATGAGTCGTTGTAGATTCAAGTCGGAGTACGCAATCGACAACGTATCATCGGGGTATCTGATAATGTTGATGTTTACCCCATTTACCTTTACTCAGTCCTTGAAATACTCTAGTGGCTCTTTAATTAGAAACTCGGAATGTGGATATACAGCAGGAGTTATTAAACATATATGCCTGTTTAACTGCTCTTCTAATTTTTACCTCTACGGATGTAGGAACTACGACCTTAATTCTGGCGTTTTGGTTCCAGTACAAGTTGGGAGTTCGTTAGAAGAATAAGTCTAGTACTTTATTTTATTTTGTCAAATTATAAGTACTAGTATAAATACAGTACTACACAAATATACCTAAGGCAGGTAATTAGGTAAGTATTTTTTTAAATATTCCAACAAACATTTCAACAGTTTTCAAAAAACTTATAAAACTTATCAAAGAGACAAACAGAAATACAGAAATTTCTAATATCCCTTTGGCTATAGATGATGATATCGAAGCTGCTCTTAAAGACCATCAAGGACATTTTACTTTTATGAACTATTCCAAATCAACAGTTTTTTCAAAAAGAATCCACAGAAAAGGTGGACATGGCAAAGTCCTAATGAAAAAAACACAAAACGAAATATATTCTATCTACCCTAAAACCAGAAATAAAAATACCAGGGATTATTATGCAAAATTATATTATTGGATATATAAATAACACCAAAAGAAATCACACACTTCATACATGTATAAAAAAATGAGAATAATAATGCATATACTTTTGTGTTGTTATATGTATAATAAAATTTTCAAGTGGAACATTTTTGAATCCCACACTAGTATTTGTGTAACACAAAACTACGTGAGTAAGAGGTGGTTATCTGAAAAAAATAAGTACGTGGTTCAACACAAAACCACAAATCTCTTACACATATTGGTATAGATTGCCATGGTGGTCGCCAACATCCGAAACTCATAGGCACTACAAAAAGAAGAAGAAGGAAAACAAGTCTGCGAAGGGGATTAATATTATCATCACCCAATATAGAAACATTTGAAGAAATATCATTAGAAAAGCAGATAAATAAAAGTGCACAGAAGAAAGATAAACATAATAAAAAATATTGATTTAAGTTAACAAAAAAACTTACTTTTCTGCAATATTTGTCATCACAGGGCAAATCGATGTCAGGCCATCTATCCAAATCGGTGTCACGGGCACAATAGATACCATTTCCTGTGAATCCGCGGTTACATCTACAACCAAATTGACCCCAACCAAGATTAAGACATTCAGCGTTATCGTCACAACGACTACCTCCGGGACAGAAGCCGCGTCCTTCGTGACATCCAATGGACTGATTGCCTACAAATCCGTATTCACAGGCTCCACAATGGTAGGAACCCTGAAAATTAAAATGACTTTAGTGTTTGTAAACTAATTATTGATAATTAAAAAATAACTAATGATTGTGCACTGCTTAATCCATTCAGATATGACTGAATTCATACTGCAATATACTGTTTGCATTAATGTCTCAACAATATTATAAAGTGTAAACATTAGATCCGTCAGTAGGTATACTCTTTAATTAGAACAATTAAACAACTTGAATTTAACTTTCCACTATATCAAATTTTCCGGTTTCTAGCAATCCCCGAACATTCCACGTACCAATTCTCAGGTTTCTTCATAATTTTATTTTTATTCCAGACGCAGAATTTCCATGGTGTGCGTGGTTTCTCACAATATCATGATATAACAACAAATCCCAAATAAACTTCATAAATTTGAAATAATTATTGTATGCAAGTAAAACTCGAACATAAAAGTTAACAAGGTAAATGTCCATCGAAGAGCAGAGTGTGGATCTGATCTCCATTTACTTCAAGTATCACCACTTTTTACATTTAAACAAAGCCAACATCAAAATAAAAATAATAGCTAGATGACACTGTAAGACTCAATTCAACCTCCTAAAAACACGTTCATGAAAAATGACAGAAGTAGCTCATTAACTTTGGAGAACCTTACTGAAGAAGGCCAGGACCCGACTTGGGCTGTAGTGCCATTAAATGGGTGGGAGTAGACATTCGTATCATGAAAACTATACATAATTCAAAAGTTTTAAATGGTATGACCATGTCAAAAGAATAAATTATTAACGATGGCTAAAGTGAATGTTACAATGGAGACAAGAAGTAAAAGGTGTAATAGAAGATACAGCAGATGGCTGGAAAAACCGCAAGCGTTAGAAGATAGGATGCGCGAAATATATATTAGTATCCTGGCATTTGAGCATCTTAGCTTGAAATTTTGCTCACTGGACTTTTTTTGCGGTTTTCTGTAGTGATAACTATTTTGCAATTTTGAAGACATCCGTTTTTAAAATAATTCTTCGAAATTAGGAATTCGCATATAATTTTAAATGCTTTAATGCAAAACCGTAAATAAGCATAGTTACCTCTGTGTTGATGCACTCAGAATGTGGCACACAAGCTCGTCCAGTTTGACACTCATCAATATCTATGCAACGCTGTGTTCTTTGTGCTGCCTCCTCTATACCAACACCTTGGCTATCTTCTTCTGCACGGAATCCCGGAGGGCAAGGATCGCATCTATAACCAGGACGAAGATTGTGGCAGCTGACTCTGGGATCACATGGTTGGACCAAGTCACACTATATATGAAAATATAAATAAATATCCAATAATATAACAATATTAATTTAGTGTTGTTAGTATTCAAGAAGTTTTATTTTAAAAATTTTTGTAGCCTAAAGATACGAACGCTCAAATCACAAAACGAGCACAAAAACAATTTACAAATTTTGGAAATAATTTGAATTATCTTATTAAAAAATGCTTTCTCAGAAGATAGAATTCTTTAAAGTTATAATAAAATCGGTTTAATTGATATAACTTTTAAACGGTTATCTTTTAACAGCTCGTTTAGGAGAAGTACTATTTGACATTTTTATTCATAATTTTGGAGTTACAATTACTTGGAGTACTCCATGCATTGGCCTTCAAAAAACTGTGCTAGTTTCAAAAATTAACTAATTACTGCTCAAAATCATTTATTTTTGTCTCTACAGCTTTGACTATTATGTTTAAATTACAAATACACCATTCTACTTACTTCATCGATGTCTATACAATTTGTCCCGTTTCCTGTAAAGCCAGCAGGGCAACCATGACATCTATAATAAGGACTCTCTTCCTCAGGCACACACCGAACACCTGTAATTTAAATTTTAAATTTATCAAAACAATTGATATAGTCATTTATTAAAAAAAATAAAAGAAAGACTGTGTTCAAAATGTTCTCCGTATTCACGAATACTTAAGTGTATTCTTTTTACTAAAGAATCCATTAATATTCTAAATGGTTGAGGATAAGCTATGACGTCTTAAAGTAACGTTGAATTCCGTGTTCCAATTCTTGACGAAAATTTACCTCTGTAGAATAAATTTTTCCTTAACATACGACGAAACTGTGTTTGCACAAACTGTAATGCACACCAATAGTGTGCATTATGGGAGTTAAATATACCTTGCCGCGTAAAGGTGGCCTCGTCCGCAAAAAGAATGCATTTTAAAAATTTGGATTGAGGACTGTCCTTTCTTGTAATGTTTCATAAAAATCCACTCTAACCGGGTAGATCGTAGGCAAGAGCTCTTGGACTTGTTTGTAATGATAAATATGTAGTTGCTGCTCTTTAAGTATCCGCCAAGTATTTAAAGAAGACGTATTTGTTTGTCTTGCCATATTCCTTACGATAACTGTTGGATTTTGATCAAGTAAATTTAAAATAATATTTTCTTTATTAATTGTTATTGTTGTTCTTGGTGTACCAAAATTTATTTTACTTGGCCTCACATTCCCTGATTCTCCAACGTCGTTCAACGGTTCTAAATGTTTTTTTTTTGTAACTTTCCTCTAGGCAAAGCTTTAACAAATTGCTTCATGAGACCTAATTTTATATGCAGAGGTGGAAATATAATATTCTTTCTGTCGACAAGTGGCTGATGTACAATGTTTGGATCACCAGGTCTCAGGTCCGGTCTTGGCGGCCAATTCGACTGCACTCAATGCTGCGCACGAGCTCTGCTGTCCCACATACACAGAAAGCAGGGATACTTTGTGTATCCACGTTGTTGACCAAGTAAAAAGCAGACCATTTTAAGGTTAACACAAATGATCCATTGTTGCATGTCATATTGCAACAGATCAATGACTTTCTTTATGTCGTCATATTCTTCACGCAAACAAACTGAATGACCAATTGAAACTGAACTAAATAAATTTCCATTGTGGAGGAGAACACACTTCAATCTCCGCTTTGAGCTATCTATAAACAGTCGCCAGTCTCATTAGTTACGTCTCATTATGGCAAAACACAAATCCACCATCACTTTGAAAGCATTGCAGAAATGCCCTTTCTCCTGTTTGAAAATATGATACCTTGGCTCCCTTTTGAAGCAAATTTTTCTCATTGAGTCGTGATGCTAAGAACTCTAAAGCTTTTTTGGGTAGTCCCAAATTTCGTACCAAATCATTTAGCTCTTGCTGCTCGAATACCTTAGTACGGAGTCATCTTCAATTTCGAAATCTTCATCGTTGAAGTCGCTTTCATCTACACCATATCCGTATTCCCTTTCTTCCAAAGAGAGAAATTCATTGAAAACTGGCACGGGGATTTCGGCTGAATGCAGCACTGAGCGTATAGCTGACGGTAAACTAAGATACTCTATCTTACATTTGTTTTTGTTGTTATATCCTGATGTTTTCACTATACAAAAGTAACAATCACTTGAATGATATTTGGGCTCGCGCCAAATCATAGGTGTACCAAATGGAAGTTTAGCACGTATTCCCTTGGTCTACATACGTTAACCCTCAACACACTGTTTACACACTTTATGAGCTGCCCATGCTTTATCTTGATCACCAAGTCTCACTTTAAAATAGACAAAATATGCTTGTCTGACGAATGTACTAATGTTTGTCCTTTGATTGGGAATGGTAAAACTGCCACATATATAACAAAACGAATCAAGGCTGTTTTCGCACTTACGACGTGTAGGAGCAGAGGTAGCCATAAGGAAACGTTTCAGTTCAAACACACTAAGTAGGTCACTTAAGTAAATTCACTAAGAGTTCTACATACTTAAGTAACGAAATACTAAATGCTGCTAACCAACACACAAAGTTTCACCACGGTATAACAGACGTAACTGAAGTGAACACGTAAAAAGTCAAGTCTAGACCAGTTGCAGTTATCAGCGCGTCATTCCCCCACCAACATGCGCCCCATCCTCATAGAAAACGAACGTGACGAGATAGAAGAAAAGTAAAAACAATTTTGAAATCAGCACGCCTAATTCTATAGAAAACAGCTAAAAAATCCAACTCAACAGAACTTGAGTTTCAAATTGTTCCCCAGTGTTATTCTACCCTTAAAAAAGTTATGTTGAATAAAACTTGGTACGAACCTTGTATCTAGCTCCCTATATGAGAGTAAAATATAGGAACAAATTCATTGGATGTATCAGCTTCCAAAACATATTCGTATAAAATTTCATTACAGTGTTGCCAGTAGTTTTGGCAAAATCGTAAAACATATGTAATATTGTTTTTCTTCAATGCTTTTTATCTTGAAAACGGATAGCGCAACAAAATTTTTTTTAAGCAAACGCCAATTAATTTTCAGTTATTTACCTATCCTAGAGACCTGAGTGTTACCTTTTTTTTGAAACACCCTCTATAAATAATTGAGCTTCTCGAACGATTTACCGATTTAACGAAGATAAAAATTGTAATTGTTAAAAGTTGTAATTTGTAACAGTGAATATTGCGTCATCAAAAACAAGGAGGATAAGTATATCGAGTTAGCTCACTTCGAAAATTATAAAAATCCCCACTTTTGGCAGAAATATTTTGACATAATGAATGAATTTGGTTGTGAAATCAATAACATATAAATTTGAAATATAAAGATTTGTACATTAACAACACAAAAAATTAATATTATTTATTAAACAAATAATAAAATACATTCTTAACAAAATTGTTATTATATCTATATATTAAAGGCTATACAAAATCCAACCCTGTGCTCTATTATGTAATATTTCTTTTGCATATTTATAATAACTGTCAATTTATGAATAAAAAACTTTAACATTGATGGTTCTAAGTACTATTCTACCCTTTTTTCAAATTTTTCATCACAGTTTTTTATTAGTGAAGCGATAACTAATGTTTGTGTATGACTATCACAAAAAATATCAATTGGCACATGTATACAGAAGCAATATTATTTTGTGAGAACAAACAAAAGAACATACAAGGGGAAAGAAATAAGTCTAAGTTTGGGAGGAGAGTTTATTATGTACAAGGTTGCAGGCAACCCTAAATAGCTCCCTCCGTCTTCTCCGTGTTTATATTATAGTTTGACAAAACTACTTATTTAGTTTAAAATATAAATATAGCTGCCAAAGTTGATAAACTAAGTCTTACAACTCCTTTTATTGGTAAAAGTGCCTTAGATATTGATTTGAATGTTTAAATCTACCTAATGTTCCACTGAAACTATAAACAAAATGATAAAAACTAAATATTTTTAAATAATTGAGGACAAAAGTTGAATGAAACTTTAGCAACACAAAAGCTTGCTAAATATTCTGTTGCTTTACTAAAGAGTTTCTTTTCCTAAACATTTTATAATGTTTAAATATTTTTAAAAATCCAGCCATACACATATTAGTAAAAGTTACATAGGATAAAGTCTAATAAGCTTTCTAAGAGAATCAGGAATATTCAGTTGGGGTGCTGTTGTTTGAGGTGTTTCATAAAATAGATAGATTCCTTTTTAATGGAATATCACTCCTCGGTACAATAGCATCCCGCCGAGCTGAATATTCATTACTCTTTTAGACAGCTTGTTAGACTATATACCTAACTTTTTTTTTTGTTACCAAAAATGAATTAAATTTGTCAGCGGAGTGTCCTGTCTTTCACTTCTTCCTTTGTATCTTGTTGTTGGTTGAAACCCATTCCATAAAACTTCAGAATTTATGTAATTAGAAAGATGGAATTCACCTAGATTTCAAAACTATCAATGTCAAAAAGTTATCAAAATCAAAAAAGGTGCACATAACTTTACATTAATGCAATGAAGAAGAATTCACCAGTGTGAATACACAATACCAGTTCAAAGAATATATACCTGGAAAGCGATGACGGTAAGAACATAGTAAGGAACTAGTTTGATTAGAAACCAAAGATTCCTTAACTCCATAGTATCAACTAATGCTTAACCAAGTGGAGATATAGAAAGTGACCACAATTTTGTTTTAGCAGACATGAAACTTAAACTAAATATAATTTAAAAAAACCATCAAAACCCCTAGAATTAATCTTAAACAAGCTGATCTCTTTCAACATATCAAAGAACAAATACTCACAAAAGTTCAGGAAGTAGAAAGACAAGTAGCACTTAATACAACGGGAAAATGGAGAGAGTTAGAGGATTTAAAGAACCTTATACAACAAGTGGAGAACGATACATTTCCTAAAAGCAAACAATGGATAAAAGAAGAAATAATGACATTAATATCCAAAAGGAGAAGATATAAGAATAAAAACGATCAACACAAAAAAGTAAATAAAACAACCAAACAAAAAAATCATAGAAGCGAAGCAACTATGGCTATCAGACAAATGTCATACAAAAAGGGTAATATTTAATAGATTTAAAACACAACATGATAGCTTTAACATATAAGAAATATTAAAGAAGCAGCCAAAAGAACAAAATGAGCCCCTTTGGTAACAGACTGAGAAATAAAAAATATTAGCCGATGTGATTGTATACACAAGAGAATATGGAACGAAAAAGAGAACCGGGGAGACGACCCAAATACTAATTGAAAAATTCAGAAATGCTGCAGATAGTGTAAAATGGGCCGTGATGATCACCAATGTCGTTAAAGGATGAAGCACACTAAGAAAAAGAATGCAGTGAATAGGTAAATAATAAATACTGTAGTTCACTACCACACCACCGTTTATTATAAAAATGATCTACTTCGACAAAAACAAGACAAAGGGAACAGGGAAATTGTGCAGTTAAAAAAGAAACAGGAACAAACAGAAAAAAATTAATGCAAATGGCGGAAATGGGAAGACTTATTTGGATGAGTAGAGTGACACAAAGGAAATGACTAAGACTGAG